AATTTGTATGGACTTTATTTAAATTTAACAGAAACAGAAGGTTTTTTTGAAAAGAAAATGGAAGTGGAATCAGTTCAAACTACAGCAGAAATGATTAATCGATAACTTGTCAACTATTAAATAAACTGCCAAACATATTAATAATTGATCAATTATTTTGAATCATTAAAAAAAGTCAAAATTTTCTGGTTTCAGCTTCTCCAATGTAAATATTTTCTGCTTTCTTTAGTCCTCTATGACAGTAAACTGAATATCTTTGGGTTGTGGACAAAACAAGACATTAGAATACATCACCTTGGACTTTGGGAAACACTGATCAACATTTAAACCATTTTCTGGACCAAACAACTAATAGATTAGTTGACAAAATAGTCGACAGTTGATCAGTAATTAAAATAATCAGTAGTTACAGTCCTAATCGCTGCCCACTGCCCTGTGCAATAAATATGCTTCTTTTCCAGCAATGCCTTTGGTCTGCCGTTCATATGAGCCTACCGTAAATACTATCCTGTAAAAACAAGTGATTCATATCATGATTCAAGAATTTAGGGCAGGGGAGGAAGTATACTGACATTCCTATGTGGAGGAAACTGTTAGACATGTCATGACATCAGTACTGACAGATTTGCATGGTTTTGTTACAAGGTATAAATCACTAAGGAGGGAGGTTATAGTAATGTTCTGCTTATGGCTAAATTAGAGAGTGCAGGACTTTTAGTGACCCAAACATTAAGTGTGCTGTTTTTGTCTGCATGGCAACCAGTCTTTACGACCTGACTGAAACCAAAAATGTCTCATTAATCAATTGTGACTATTAATATAAAGGCAGGGTTAACGTTCAGCAGGCATGTAGACGAAATCAAATATTTACAGTAAAAATGGAGTGGATTAATACATTGTAAAGAGGTCATGAAATTAAATGTTAAATTGTGTGTTTTTCCAGCAAAATGTATCCTGGTATAATTAACTGTTGGATGAAAAAGGATGACAACATTTATTGGCCTCGATCACAATATCTTATTCTTTATAAGCAACTAGCGACATTTACTAGTAATTTTTTGCCCATAAATAACAACACTTTCAACTTCTCAGCAAACCACTGGAAACACCTCTAATGTTTCAGAATAAACTTCAACACACCTCTATGATTAACAGCCAACGCTGTGACAGATATTCTGTGAATAACACTTTCAATGTCGAGCTGTGCCTGCTGAAATACCCGGGGCATTGTTTCAACCCGACGACTGAGATTTTATAGGTGGCGTGCACGCTGAGAGGGATAACAGCAGCCAACTACACGTAATTGCCAGTAATTTCAGACAGAATGATTCACAATTGTTGTGTCAGTAGGCTTGCTGTTTTCACGTTTTGTTTTTAACACGCTGGACAAGATCTCTGATGCAGACGCTCTCTCACCATGTCACCAAATCTTAAGAAGCGTGTTTGACTCAAGTATGTCTCTGTGGTACATGTTGACAGATGATAACGGCAGCTCATACTAAAGCTGACTATACCTCAGATCAAAGTGACAAGTTGTTTTTTTGCAAATGATTCTCAAAGACTTTATGTCTCACTCAGTTCATTCACCTCAGAGGAAAGTGTGACTCAGAGAGGTACGATCATCTCCTCCACTGGTCGGGCTCTGATATGTCTGGCCATGACAAGCAGCATTCGGTGCTGTCAGCAAAGATCAAATATGATAGATGGACGGAGATCTGCTGGGCAGCTCACTGTCCTGCAATGGCACAAACCAGAGCCCTAGTGAACCAAAGAAAACTGTATATTATAGTGCCTGGATTTCGGCAGGCCTCAGTATGCAGATTTACATGCTAATTTTGTCATTTGATCAGTGGTGGAAAGTAAGCATATTTAGTAGTTCAAGTATTCTTCCCCAAAATGGAAATTCCTGCCTTGACCAAGGAAGCGATAATTTATTTGCAATAAAAGAGATTAGAATATTACAAATAAAATAACTACCATGTAATGACCACAGATTGGTAGTGTACAGTTGATAACATTGATTTCTACAGACATTAACTGTCCTAAGGGATTGTGGTATGACAAATAGTGGCGGGGCAGAGATAACCGCAAACCTTTTTTTTTTCTGACTGGAAGCTTTTTATTGAGGTGAGAAAATTCCATGGCAGACACCAAAAACATGCATTAACATACCACTGCAAAGCCAAGGTTAGCGAACCCAGACCTTACTCACTTATTACCCCTAACTACCCCTTTGGAAATACACATCTATAACGTTTGGCGCACAGACCTCTAATAACAAACGGCTAACAACCAGTCATTATGGGGGCTTGAGCAGGAGATTTACAAATCTTAGGTTCAGCGGCGTTGGACGGGTTCCCTTTGCTTGAAAATGGTTATTCCATCAAGGGCATGGTGAGCTGCGTGATAAAATCTTGTGATTTATTCCCGGCGGCTGATAATTACTGGTGTCTTGTCACCTGTCAAAAATGAATGGACGGGGAGAGTCCGAGGCTGTAGTCTTCATGCTCTTTACACCACCGCAGTAAATCTGACATGTTTGTGAAGCCATAAATCACAGCCTGTGAAAAGCCCACGCACATGGAGCTGAGCGGCGGGGCCAGAACATTTTAAACAGTTTGAGCTATAAAAGTATGCAGGAGATCAGCAGGGTTATTTAAAAGGTGTGGTAAGTACATTCAGTTAAGTGGTTACTTTGGGACACAGGAATGGACTGAACGGTTGAACTCAAAACAAGAAGGACAAAAATGAGTGAAATGCTTCCACATTATCATTCATCATCACATTTTGTGCATCTGTGGAGCTTTATCCACTATAAGAAAATAGTTTGGACAGTGGTTGAGTTTTTGCAAAATGTGTCTTCCTACATGATGATTGTAAGATCTTGTCTGCAATCTACACAATGTTTTTAAGTAAAAAGAAAATTATATTTAACTATATGAACACACCCTGCGCCATCAGGGCTTTATTGTGTCACTACATCTTGTTCAGAGGTCATTATCAGGTCACAATTAGAGTTTGTGAACATTTACTACCGTTCAAGAATGATAGTGATTCTGCCTTTTTATCTAATAAAAACAGAGACTAGTGGATTTAACTAATTGTCTAGGTTAGACATGAATTGTGAAAACATGAGCACTGTGTGGAATGTAAGGTTGACTTATGGATGGCTTTAGGGTCCAGCACGGGGTTGTGCAAGTTCTCCCCTAAGTTAGGGTGTGAAGTCGACACTAGGGGCTTAGTAACTGTTACTAAATTTGGTTGCATTGCAATTATATTTGGGGCATAACCTAACTAGTTTGAAACTAAGGCAAGTGGTTAATCAATAATCCATTGTCATGGTTACAGTGAACATTCACTTTCATTCTCTTCCTTAATTAAAAATGCACTGGATTAACTGTAAGTATGTTAGAAAACATTAGATTTCTGTAGCAGAGCAAATTATGCAAAACCTCAAGAAGTATCCAAACATTGGCACTGTTCTTGACTGTGTGTAAATCTATGCTGAGCTCCCAGACACAACAGTAAAAAGGCCAGACTAAACGTTCCCACCTCAAATCAATAGTTGTGCTTTTAGAGCTGAAACTCTGGGCTGTAATTGTTTTAAAGGTTGGCGTCTCAGAGCCGCAACACATACAATAAAAAGAAGAGGGCAGGAAGGAAGCAATGCTTCTCAACGACCCCCAGTTCAGTGTCTGAGGAGCTACCCTTTAGTTACCTGACCCATTGCACTTGGCCAGAAGCCTAGCTAAAGGTCAGTGCAATCACCTTTCACTGTCCACCACAATATCTGACACATAGATCTTTCATGTGGATGTAGGTCTTCTACCTATTTCCACTCTTCTTCCAGACTGTTTTGTGTCATGATTAAGAAATGTAAATACAACATTTCTATTCTGTATCTTGTTTAGAAAACATGTAACACATCACCTTACAAGGTTATAAATAAGGACAGTTTAAAAGTATAGATATATATATATATATAAAGTGTAGCAACAGTAAAATTTGGTCAAAATGGAACCACATATTCACTAGCAAAAACATTACGAAAGATCGATAGCCTAACAAGCAGCTATTGCAGGTTCTAATTGTAAAATATTTGCCCTTGTTTTTCCCCTCTCTTTGAAGTCTTTGCTCTTGTCCTCAGGTGCTGCCCAGGCCTGATTTATGGGGATGGGTTCCAGGGAAGCAACTCTAAATTACATGGCCCTTAAACCTGAGCAGAGCGAGACAGAGAGAGGGAGAATCGCCACTCTAGAGACAGCTAATTGCAAGGACAAATCTAACCTACGGTAGATAAGAAGGTTCCTCCTTTCCCAGACCCGAGAAAAGGGGAAACGTGTATAACAGATTAGACCAGTTGGATAAATGTGCAATTTGTCATAAATGTCCCTGAGACTAATATTCAGAGGACATCTATTTAGATGAAAATCTCTTCGTTGCTAACGATGATGGAATAAAGTAAATGGTACACATGGTGCTATGTAGGAAAAAGAAACACTCATTTTGTTGGACCTTCAGTCTGAGTGGCATGATACAGTGTTGTTCTTTGTAAAGAAAAGGAATTGTAATGGGGGAAAAGTGAGTGAGTGTAAATTGGCTTTTCAGAACTCTACAGCTTCATGGAAAGCCTCAAGACAAAAAAAATGCGTAACTGGAGTTGGGGATTATAAGAGCGTTATGGAGTCAAAAACAGCCAAATCAAATCCTCTATAAATGTGTTAAAGGAATTGTGAAGTTAACTGCCATTTCCAAATAATTAGTATGTTTCGTGTGCGTTTTACACTGACAAGTGTTGAAACTTCTCTGTAAGATCCTGTGGGATGTGAGGGAGAGTCAGAGTAGGAGGAGGAGGTGACAGTGCCATTTGCCTGGAGGGTGCCCATAAACCTGGAGAGGGAGAGAGAGTGCACCATTCCTCACAGGTGACTGTACCATGTGACTTCAAGAGTTTTAAAAAGCAGGCCAACCTGTCTTGTTCAGGTACAAGTAATCACAAGGCACCGGAGGAGTCAGAGGAGGAGAATACCTGGGCTGTCGGCACAGCAGCAAATACCGACAGCCCCACAAAACAAGCCGAGGAGGGAGAGTGTCCGGTAGCAGCGGCAGCCTGTTAACACGGCATTCCATGCAGACCACATTTGAAGTCACAGACTCTTTCCTACAACTACAAAAGAGAAAACGATTTTACTGAGACTAGTGTCCACATTATTGACACAATGAGCTGCAGCAGTGTTACAGGATCAGAGTTCTCAGAGGAAGAGCTGGAGCTTACTGCACTGGACCAAGGAGAGGACGAGGGAAGTCCCAAGGCATCTTTTCAAGACTGCGAGAGCTCAGCCAGCAGCCCAAGCGACCCAGAGGAAGGCCAGACCAAGAAGCGCAATCGACCCGTCCGCTCAAAAGCTCGTAGAATGGCCGCCAACGTCCGCGAGCGAAAACGAATCATGGACTACAACCAGGCCTTCAATGCCCTACGTGTTGCTCTGAACCATGACCTCAGCGGCAAACGGCTTTCCAAGATTGCCACACTGCAGAGGGCCATCAACCGCATCTCTGCTCTCTCAGTATTCCTGAGCTCCAACCCCCCCGGCAAGCCCTGCACCCACCGGGAGTGCAACAGGTCATCTGTGGGGCCAGCCACGATGGGGACATCTGGACTCGAGCAGACCAGGGTACCAGTTCCTCGACTGGAGCACCAGAGCTACATCCCCTGGCACGCGTCCATCTCTCACCAGATGCATCCACAACAAGGGCCTCATGTGCACAGGCTGCCCACGGAGCCACACGTCTACATGGATAACACTGTGACATCATGTCCCCCGTCGCCACACTACCCTTGTTATCCCACTGAGGGACAGCTTTATGCCTCACATGGACACTGCGGCAGCCCCCATGACCATCCGCCCAGTCCTTTGCGATACCCTCAGGTGGGTGAGGGGTTGGGGTACCAGCCAGGGATGTGGGCCTCCTGCACTCAGAGATACATGGACACTTTTGTGGAGCCTACTCCAGCTCTTGGGCTTCCCTGGCAAGTAAGCTACCCACAGGAGCCGGAGCACAACCTTTCTCTATGCTCTGACGTACTGTAACAGGGTACATCCGGCACTGTGAGCCCTGAAGACTGCTGATAACGCCAGTGGACTGTTGAATACCCTCAGGGAGAAAACCGCTTTTGTGTTTCTGCTGTTGCAATCAACTCAGTATTACAATAAAACTCTATCCTATTTTAGAGCAGAGTCGCCGTAATGTAATTAACAGATGTATAAAAAAAAGTGCAATGGCAATCAAGACTGCAGAATGTTGTATATATACCAGGAAATGTATTTTAATCTCACATTTCAAAAGTGCACCCACAGAATTGTGTTCTAGTTGTTCAACTGTCATCTTCTGGCCTTCAAAGCTGAATTATTACAAATGATGTTACATTACTTAACGTTATTAAAAGGAAACATAAATACCTACAGTTAAGCAATTAGTATAGATAGGACAGCTTACACACGTGCTATACTGTTATGAAACTTGTTCTTACTGTTTGTTTTCTTTCAAGTACTAGGAAGTGCATCTTAAGGAAATGTGACAAAGGTTCAACATTTGTATTTATTCGCTGAATTGCATAAAAAGTCATGGCTGTTTGTAAAGTTGTAAAGAGTGTACATCATTGTCGAAACAAAATTAAATGTTAAAATGACATGGTTCCTGTTATGCTTCCTTTCAAAACAGAAATGTTAAGCTGTAACCGCCTTGGTTATTAGGACTTTCATATAGAGCTAACGCAAGACTTAGCTTTACACATGCTGTGTGTCTGACTGTGTGCATGCATGTCTTTGGCCTTTTTGTGTGTGTGTGTGTGTGTGTGTTTGATTATACCCTAAGGTCGGTAGCCTCTACCATTCTAAGTCTGAGATGACAGAGGTCCTTCACTCAGTTGAAAAATGTCCTTACAAGTCCATTCTTGTCATTCTTCTTCTTGTCAAGAGTTAAGGTTCTTTTTACATGCAGCAAAATAAAAAAGCCTGCTGTCTACGAGAAGCACAACACTGATTAGCAGTGCAGGGCTATGAAAAGTGTATGTACTCCACCTTGCACAATATGCTTTTCTGGACTTTTTGCTTTCTGCACAGAAGTACAGTTCAGTTAAAACAGCAAGTGACATCATTACTAGTAAGTAACGGGTCAGTTGTTCTTTGTACAGATCAAGAAGAGTAAATTCTAACCACAACTTTCCATCCTGGCCCTACCAACTCATGGTAGTCAACAACAGCTTTCCCTCCCCTGCTAAGCAGCATGTCATGGAAAACAGCTTTAATATTAGACTATAGAACGGAGCCCACCGACAGATTTATGTGGTCTCAGGAAGGAAGACTGTGCCCCGTCATCATCGCGGTGAAATCCCCTGTCGGGCTGCACTGGCCCGCAGGTGGAATTGGGTGTGTTAGTGTTTTTTTTGAACATCCTGGAGGTCTCCCAACAAGGGCCTCGAGATGCTGCGGAAAAGAGTTGGCCCGGGGAGAACTACTGCAGGCTCAGTGGAGAAATAATTGGTGTGGTACAACAACAATTAGCAGGCAGGAAGGAAAGGGAATACAGACAAGGAGATGAATGGAGAGGAGGAGTGAAATAATAGGAAGAGGAGGTTATAGGTGGTGAGAAAAAGGAGGAGAGTGACTACACTTGGAGCCTTTCGTTCAGCTTCTTCACAGACGTGAATCACAAGAAAATGTTGACTCACCAGCGAGAGACGAGTGTGGCTGACAGCACTCAGTGACGGCATGTCTCTTCCTCCTCCCTTTCTGGCACAAAAACAGACCTCCACTCACTACAGAGCCAGTTGATCTACTCGTCTGGGGCCTCAAGAGACTCCAGAGTGAAAGTGAGTTAGTGCATTCTACTGAGACCACATTTCAATGTAGTTCTGTCGCTGCTTTATTTGACGGAGAGAACATCACATTCCACATCAGGTAAATAAGAGTGCAAAAAGCCTGGCTCTTTGTTCCCTTACAAAGGAAGGTTGTTGTTTTGTAGTAGACAAAAGTGCTAACCACAAGAAAAAAACAACACTTAATAAGAACTGTTTATCACTGAGTGACAAGTATTAAAAAGTGACACCATTACACATGTAGAGCATATCTTGCATAAGATATGTAAACCTTTGGACCATGACTTTTTTTTTGTTGGTATTTTTACGTATACAGGCCTGAAATACACACATACACATACATTAATATATGGAGAGATGTCACAGGTGGGGGGCTGCCACATAGGCAACCAAAAGTTTTTATATCTTGCTCAAGGTCACCTCAGTAGTGCTCAAGAGGTGAACTAGAAACTCTCCAGCTACCAGTCCACAATCCGTACTGAGTGGCCCGTGCTGGATTTGAACCGGCAACCCTACGGTTCCCAAGCTAAGTCCCCGCAGTCTCAGCTAATTCCACCCCAATTATTCCATTAACAGAAAATGAAACAGCACATCTGGGTTCAGAAATCTTAAGCAGGAGGATGATCTGAATATCTTTCAGAGTTTGGAGTGTTAGTCAGACGTAACAAAACATCTTAAATGGCACCTTGGGGTCTGGGAAACCTGTGATGGACATTTTTCCTAATTTCTGACATTTTAAATGTTGAATTAATGAAGGAAATATAATTGGCAGATTAATTGAGAATGACAATAATTATTAGTTGCCGCCCTACTTTGAAATGCATTAAACAGTACATGTGTAAGCTACTTAACAAAATCAGTGTGTGAGAAAGTATTTGGCCATGAGAGATTCAACGCAGAGAGAAAGTCACATCTCAAAGTGCTTTAACAGGTCAACTTTCATATTGAATTGTGACTAACCTGAGGATTTACCTCACTTCTCTGACATGTGAGCCTGTCAGTGATGCATCTTTTTTTCAGACTGTTCCGCCTCCTTGACACCCTCCGCTGCCAAGCTGATGGAAAAGAAAACAAGCAAACATGAGAGAAATGATGCCAAGACATGAGGGTGTGTTTGCGTGATATATGGGGATGAGTCAGCCTTCAGAGTGCAAATGCATGTTGATGCTCCACATACTGAGCCCACCCCCTGCTCCCCAAGCGTGGACACACACACACACACACACACACACACACACACACGCAAACACACTGTGCTGCTATGACATCATTGGTGGAGGTGAAGGAAGTGAAGGTGCCAGACAACATGATGTGACAGACTTTGATTGTTCCCGTGACGTGTACAAATAAAGACATTACTCCTGAACTCTGACATTAAATTAAGTTATACGCGTTTTGAAAACTCAAAAAGAGATGCTTACTTAAAGGTGGGCTCAGTCATTCTGGAGAAAGATAGTTGATTGTTAAGTCTCATTCCCAGGTCGTCAAATACCGACACTTTGGGTTATGGTAAATGGGGAATAAGCCAAGTGTCTCGGAGTGAGGCACACAACACAACGCATTGAAGCTCCCAGGTTTTCAAATACAGAGGATTTGGCAACCCAAAGCATCAGGAATGAGACTCAACTCTCAACTTTTTTCCCCATAATGACTGGTCCCACCTTTAAAAGACTATACTTCAAATTCAAACTGAACTCTCGATATAGCATATGCAAAATCACACATCAAATAATGAAACTGATGCTCAAGGCAACAGGTTGTGTTCCACTGCTTGATCAATCAGATCAATCTCTTCTTATGTGTAATACAAACATCTTTATAACTAATTTTGTTGATTGCAGCTTATTCAGAACCAATGCTTTGAACAACAGAAATTTCTACAATAGTAACATGATAAGATCATGATAAGATCATTGGGTTTGCTGGATAGTCTGAAGGTTAAGGTACGTGGCATTTAACTACATCCTTTGTTTTATGTACCCTTCTCTCTCCCTACATTTCCCATCTAGCTTTAACAACCAACATCAAGTATCAAGACTCTCCTCTGCGGATAATGACTTTTATAAAAGTATTAAACTACTCACATGTGTAAATTGTTCAGTATGAGCAGTTACGATTGGATCAGTCACCCTACCCTACCTTTCTTGGAGGAATATTTTTAACTATACAATTTTGCATTTGGACATTCTGTGTTTAGGGGCTGATCCAACTCAATTACATATACAATGTTAACTTAAGTAAAAAAGATAACTATAACTTAGTGTTCACAAGATGTAGACCAACTTCTTCATATTTTCTTGTAGGTTTTCTCTTTTATACTGGATTCAACTTCTATTTCATTATTTGTTCAATTTTCATCTTTGTTAAAAATAGAAAACTCTTCATGAAATGTTATCTCTGCCCTTTTCTTCTGACAACTGAGACAAGATGTGACTGATCTAACGCGTTCATTCACAAGCAGTTTCACCACTGAACACTAGATGGAGGCAAGACAATGGAGCTCTGCTGTATGTTGAGCCAGTGAAGAAATCCAGGTGTAAGGTCCACAGATATTCAGCAAATAATTTGAATTCAAAACAAAAACAAATAAAAGACATCATTTCACATTCCATTATATAAGATATAAATACAGGAGCATGAATGCATGTGGCATCAGTTGCAGTGTCAGTGTCAGTATGCTAACAATTATGTGTCAGTACAGATTGAACAGCTAGTTTCCAAGAGCTTATTTGAAGTTACAATACCATGTCTGGGCAGGTGAAAATACTGCAGCCTATTATTCAGTTTGTTTTTTTTTTAAGAGGTTTTAAGGTTTGTTATTCCTGCGGTGACAAGTTATATCATTATTTTGAATTAGTGACACATTTTCCCTGGGTGATTCTCCGTCTGTCACCAAGTGAGAACTCTTTGGTTTGATTTTCCTGCTGGAGCTGGACTAGAAGAACATGCTGCAGCAGCACTTCTCTACTGCTCCTCGTCTCCTTTATACACACAGTTTCTATTTAAAATAGTGAGCTAGTTCATTCACGGTCCTGCTACAGCCTGACCTGTCCTGTTGACAAGTATCAGACTGATTATTATCAAAAATGTAGTTTCTTAAAAATCCAAATTTATATTCAGTTTAATTATGTCAAGGACCATGCCTGTGCAGATGGCAGGAGTTTGTTTAGTTCTCTCCATTTCACTATCTACTGTTAGGGTCAGGTTCTGCTCAAACATAATTAGCTTGCACAACATGTTGTCCAAAAGTGTTGCGGATGGACTCACACGAAGGCAGAGTGAAAAGCCAACCATCATAGAGAGGGGGGTTAATGTGATATTGTTTGAATATGGGGATAACAAAGTAAAGTTACAGCCATTCTCTCCTGCAAGGCAATTATATAGTTGCACTCAGTTGTTCCCATAAGAAGTAACAGAAACAGTCGAGAATGAAAAAAGAGAGCTGAGGGAGAAGTTCAAACTCTGCTTGACTTATTTGTCACCTCTGCACAGCTGGCCAATCACTGTGTGCAGTGGGTGTGAATGTAAGGTTTGCGGGTTTCAGCAAGTTACAGAAATGGTCAGACACGGCCTCCGCAATCTGGCGCCGAAAGTGTGGCGGCAGGGTGTTTCCAAAGCTGTTTGATCAACTAGCAGTTCTGAAGAAGCACACTGACAGCTACACCCCATCTGATGCCACATCACCACTGTGGTTAAAGTTTGCTTTTAGCTGGTTTGCTGTTTTTAAAGTGGCTTCTCAGATTTACTACACATGGTGTGTGTCTGAGACCTAACAGGATATCTTAATAAAAGAAGTAAGTTAATGTAACTTAAT